TGTATATATACATTATGATATATAGTAATTTATTTGATATATAAATATATATATATATATATATATGCGTATATGTGTGTGTATGTGCTTATATATATATATATATATAAATATGTTTATGTTATTCAATTCATGATGCGTGTGCGATCATCACTTCTAAAAATGTGTTTATGTGTATCCACGCGTGATTTCATAGTGGTTTACAACTCACGTACGCTCATAGACAGGCTCGTAGTATGCTTCTCAATCCTATAGATTTATTACGCCGGTCGAAGTTGCAACTCACGTAGGCTCGTACTATGCTTCTCATACCTATAGATAGTTGAAGCCGATCGAAGTTGTACATTTCAATTCAAAATTTGCATACCATGCCACAATTAAAGATGGAAACTCGATATACATCAAGTGTTTATTTCGTGAATCATGCCCTTGTGTAGATCACGCCAATGTTACAACGCTTTTATATACATACAGTAAGCTCTGACAATCGAGTGCGTATACATGTATTTATTCCGGATGTGAATTTGAATAGAATGATATAAGGAAAGTGTAGTGGCTGGTGAGCAGAGTGTGTGCTGTTTAATTCTGCACTTCTCACGAGATAATAAACACAATTTCATTGAAATACGTATTCTGCAGCACGCCTTGTTATGAATGACTGAAACAGCTCACTATTCACATGGACCGGTTGAAAATTTGCGGTTCAATCAGACCTGATTTAAATGTATTCATATATAGATCACTCGTGAAAATATTGTCCAAACTCTGAACTGGCTATGAGAGGCTGTACACACTCTCCTTGCCTGCAGCCGACCAGATATATTCTGATTGGCGAGGGAAAATAATAGGGATTCAGATTAATTTTGAGACAAATGCTCAGGGCCGGTATATGGTGGTGGGGGCAATTAGTCGACCCATGGCCGTTCTCCTGTGTAGAGAGTGTCGAGTGTGTTGGGCGTACATATGCACAGAGGATAGTACGCGCCGATCCTGCGGAACTCCGACCGCAATACTGTTGTGAGTTTTTTAGTCTTTAATTAGGCAATTGGGCCCCACCCCCCCCCATGGCAAAAAGTAACCACTTGTTGAGTGTTTATAGATATCTGCAGTCGTTTGTCTGGGCGCTTTGGTCCCCCCATGGACCGGTAGTTCTTACACCTTCAGACAATTCAGCTTATCGAAGTCTGCCCCTATGTCTCAGCGAGCACATTGCCGACGGTAGATAGAACAACCGTAGACCTTTTAAAGTGCTTCGGCTTCATGAGATCGGATCTGATCGTTGCACATACGACCACAAATCTCACAGCGGGCCTAGATAGTTTTATACAACGAGCCGTGGGCTATCGCTTACTTCTTGGTCATATCAAGTACGAAGCACCTTCCAATCGACTCTGTCCCGTGCGGTTCATTGGGACTGTTGTAGTTGCACAACCAAGTTTTGCGTCATGATATACAACTTCTTGAGCGAGTCGTATTCTTCTTCCTGCGTGGCTATTTTCTTTTCGAGGGTTGCCAGGTTCATCTCGGTCTGTTGTGATTGGGAGGAAGAAACCATAGGAAACAGGTTAGCACGCTGTTGTGCTAATACTGCTACACAACATCTGATACAACGATTGTTGAAGCAAGGTAATCGGTCGAGCGATAGACATAAAAACGAATACACACAGACTGTAGATATGTTTGATAACCGTAACACCACAAGGTGCATACTATTTTTTGCTTCGCAGCCCAGGTGGCCTTCTCGCGGGCGTGTAGTCCCTCCAGTTGATCGATTTGTGTATTCCCCCTGTGTGCAACCAACGTGATGGCCTTATTAGTGATGGGCACGACGTGAACAAGCTATACGAAACAAAAACAACTCGACGGATACAGCAAATGGACGGGCAGTCGGTATAGAATCAGCGACACACTCTGCGATCTTGGCCTGCGCGTGTTTCTTGAGTAGGTTGTACCGTTCCTCCTTTGCGTTGATGATGTTCAGGTTCTCTTGTGTTGCCTGCTTAAGCAGATTTTCGTTCTGTTACGACGCAAGAGGTGTTATCGGCGTTAGAAAAGTTCGCGATGTCAGCTGCGAATAATATGTTTCAGGTGCAAATTACAACTGTCATCGAGATGGAGTATATCAGCAGAAAAAACCTCAATAATGAAAGGACTTACTTTGTACAGGTTAGCGTTTATTTCCTTCATTTTGCGGTATCGCTCATTGAGTTGCCCGAACGAATCTTCCAGCGTTGAGAGATCGCGTTGTGCATTGACTAACTCACTCTCCACACGTGCAAGTGTACTTTTCGTTTGTCTCTCGTCTTGGCTTTTGCTCTCTGTTCTTGGAAAGGTTATTTTCACATTATTTTAGTGACAGTTGTGTTTCATGATTATTCCAGCAAACAACACTGAACAGCCAACCGTAAACACTTCAATTTATAAGCTTGCCTACAACAATCCCACCAGAGAAAATAAGCCCAAGCAATCCGTGCATCCATTGAATACGGCCCACAGATTACGAACACATACTTAAGCTATCCTCAAGCGCCTGCTTGGACTCTGCGGAAAGCACCTCCAGCTCTGAGACTCTCCCCCGCAAACGTAGCACCTCATCGGCCATCAAAGTATTGTCTTCGCTCAGCTTCTTCATCCTCGTAGCCCCTTCCCTCAACTCAGCTGCTTCCTTTGTAAGTGCTGAGTTCATCTCCTGAATGCGGTCCATATCCTCCTGTCGACTCTTAAGGGCCTTAATCTCCACAGCCAGGCGAAGGTTGTCCTGCACGCAGTCACCCATCTTCCGTAACCGGTCGTTCAGCTCCATATTCGCAGCACTCACCTTGGAAAGCTCGGTGGTAAGCTTCGTCGCTTCCTCCTGCAGCTTCAGCGCCTCCTGTTTGGCGTCTCCATGCTCTGCTACACGGTCACGCAGAGCCTTCATCTCCTCCACAAGAGTATTCTTATCGCTTGCTAATACATCCCTTTCGTTTGTCAGTCGTTCGCTTTCTTTTTGCAGTGAGTCGACAACTTCTTTTGACGCGTCGCCAGCCTTTTGGAGTGCCGCGATAGTTTCGTTCTCCTGCTTTAGTGTGCACACTTCTTCATTCAGAGTTTGAAACTCTACTAAATTCTGTCGCATGGTCTCGATCTCTCTTTCGAACGCGTCCCTCTCCTTCTTAATATTTTCTACATCTTCTAAGTGACGCTCAGCTTCTGCAGTCATCTGCTGATTAGTTGCTCTCATCTGCTCGATCTCCGTGTTCAGCTTGGAGGTTCCTTCTTTCAGGCCCGGAAGCTCCTTCAGATCCTCACGCATAACATTCATCTCACTCGCAAGTGCATCCTTTGCCTGCTTCAAGCATTCTTTGTCCTTTTCTTTTTCTGTGACTTCTGCTTTCAGCGCAGCGACGGTGTCATGCAATACCGTCACCTGCTTGTTCTCTAGTCGTAGCGTCTCCACCTTTTTTTCTAACTCGGGTACTTTCTGTGTAGCGCTGCGCATGGCATCCACTTCTATTACCAGCGCGTCTCTCGTCCTTTCCAATGCACTCGACTTCTCCACGCTTGCGGCTAGCTCGGTCTGTAGTGTAGCATGTTTCAGCTGTACCTCCTCGATATTTTTCTGCAGTGATATTTTGACTGTTTGCAAAGCATCGAGATCGCTCTTCAGCGCCTCGCATTCAGAGCGTAATCGACCGCTCTCGTCTTTGAAGATTTCAATTTGTTTTAGATTACCAGCATCGTTCTCTAGGGACTGACTATATTTAAACTTAAGTGCTTCCAACTCGGTGCTCATCACCTCATACTCAGCCTTCAACTTCTCATTTTCTGTGCCCACCTTTCCATTCGCCTCAGCTTGAGCGGTCATCTCAGCGCTTAGTTTCATATTCGCAACTCGCAGAAGCTCAGCTTCCGTTTTAACACTTACACACTCGCGTTCAAGCCGACACCTATCCTCCACCAAACCCGCACGCTTCTCTTCAGCCACAGCAGCTGTGCTCTTAAGGTCAGCAGCCTCGACTTTCAACTTGGCGTTGTGCTCGCTTAGTTGACTCAACTCCTTCAGAGTGTTACCCAACGTACGGGCGTGGGTCTCTTCCATGGTCTTGGCAGTTGAATTTGCCGTCTCTAACTTTTCCTGTAGCCGTGCGTTGTGTTCTTTGAATATCTGTATCTCTGCCGTCAGCCACATGGTCTTGTTTTCACCGATGACGTTCGTCTGCGGAAGTAACATGGGAGCGTCAGCATAAGAGTATTATATATGCGTCTACAAATTCTTTATAAAAAAAACACGTATGTACCTCAACCCATGCAGCGCAGATAGGTATGTAACAATAATTAGTGAACAAGGTATCGAACTTGCTACTATTCATAAATACGTCTCTGAAGCACATACTGGAGACGGTGTCGAGGCTTCCTTGTCGAAGCAAGCCCTCTTAGATTCTCTAGAGCTCTGCGGAGTGTCTATGCGCTCAGACGACAGCAGCTCGATATGGTCGGCTTTTGTCACGCTGTCCTCCACCAGGTCGTTCTCAGGCAGCACCAAGTCATCGCTCGGCTGCTCGAGTTTCCGTTTTGCTGTGCTAGGCGCCGCGTCTGGTGACTCTGCCCCTGCGGTTGTGTTGCTGGTACTCGTGGACTCCATTCTAGTTAACGCAGACGGCACATCGATGAGGGATGCCTCCATGGGAATTCCTGAACGACTGTCGCTATCCTTGCAAGGCTCTGTACCGATTTCTGTGTCGTGCCGAGCGAGTTTCACATTCATACCTATGACAAAATCCTGGGGGACTCCACGCTTCGACGACAGGGACAGTGTTGGTAATACCTGAGCAACAATCGCAGGTGGTGTCGCTCGTAGTGTGGGCTTATCTTGTGCACACACACTTGTGTTCAACGTTTGTATACTACCGCTACATGTTCTAGAGTCAGGTGCCTTGTCGACAATTGAGGTATTTTGTTCGCTGCAGAGTGTCTTCGATTCCGTTAGAAGACCCATACTCTCAGTTTCTGATGCTGGCGTGCCATCTGCCAGCTGCACAGAGCTTGTCGCTTCTTGCGATTTGTTGGGTATCGTCTGCGAAGTAGAAGCCTCTCCATTGAGATCGATGTCAGACGCAATTTTCGCTTCCTCGGCTGCGCATGGCTTCTGACTACTGACTTCATCGCCGCTGCAACTGCCTCCCGCGGCAACGTCACCTGGAAGTAACATCAGGTCCGCCTCACACAACGTTCCAACACTCTCCGTTGTATTGCGTGCGCGGGTGCCATCCATGCCGTCATTGTTAGGCAAAAGTTCCAGAAGAACTGGTTGTTCAGTGTCCTGCGTCGGGTTGGCTTTGTTCTCGTCCCTCATCAGGACTGACACTTCCGCAACGATTGATTGGCTAGCCGTGGCTCCTGTTTCTGGCGATGTCGTTGTGACCTCAGTTATGGCTATAACATCACCGTCAGTTCCCACCGAAGATACGGAGAGGAGGTCAGCAGTCTCCGATCTCTCTGGCTCCGAACTCAGCGGACTCGCAGTCTCGTGCGTCTCTATACTCGGTTGATCTGTGTTATCGTCGTTATCAATGCCTTTCCTCGAATTTGAAGGAGCTGTACAAGTATCTTCCACAACAACATCCTCCAATTTCGCAGCCTCTCCCTCGCGGAGGACTTGTTGCTCCGTATGTGTCTGCTCGCCTTTGTTCCCCGTCGCTTTCCCCACTGACGAATCATGCCTATCGGAATTCACAGTCGCTGCTTCGACTAGAATATCAGTCTTACTGTCGGTAGCGTGCGATCTTAAGCCAGCTAGCTCATGATCAGCGGAGGTGCTTTCCAGCTCTTTAGCGGGATATGTTCCCTCCTCAGGGTCCGTGTAAGACTCGGTGGTTGCTTTCACATTCTCCGAGTTGGCTGGTGGAGCTGTGTCACCTTGATTTACCGTTTCGACTGTGACATTCGATTCTTCAGCCACCATAACCTTCACACCCGCTGATAATTCTTGGCCAAATACATTCTTTGGACTACCTGTGCGAACGGATTCCTTCTTATCAGCAATGAGTTGCACTGTATGATTCAATCCGCTCAAACTCTCCGCAGTCTCCGCTGTTATCGATTCGGACATATCCACCGCTATATCTGGGGAAGTCTTTGTCCCAATCTCTCGAATATGAGTATCCCCCGAATCCGCATTGATAGCGCTGATAGCAACATCGGGCTTGCCCTGATCTAATACGGAAGATTCGTCGGAAGGTTCTTCAGATTCATCTGCTGGATCACTGCTATGGTTGATGTGAGCTATGGGCGATGACGCGTTCTCCTCTACGCTTCCATTTGCGACATGCTTATGTCCTATCTCGACTGACTCAACCGCAGACATGGCATCCACTTCGTTTCCCCCGATATTATCGGTTTGCACATCCATTTCGATCGACGTGTCATTGTTCGTACCATCTAGATCAGCCGAAACGGTACATTGTGCTGATATATCGGTTTTTGGTGCGCTCGTTGTGACGTCAGCCCGGTTATCGCCTGAAGGTGCCTCCTCACACTCCGCAATCGGTCCGGCTACGGTGTCAACCCGGTTGATAGCCAGAACAGTGGTTCCAGTTACGAATTGTGATGTGAAATCCAACTCTGGAGGAGAAATGGCTGGCACTTCGGTCTCGGCTATGCCGTGGGATACACAACGCGACACATACTTGCTGTTAACAGACACGCTACTTCCCACTGCCAGTTGAGACACACAACCCGACTCAGATTGGCTGGATGTTGGCGGGCTCTCAGTCTCCATTGCGGTCACACACGGCGAAACAGCGGACTTTACTGTCTCGCCTACGGAAGGAGATACGATCTCTGTCTTGCCCTGACTAATATTTTGCAACTCATCTACGTCCGTCATGATAGTGTCGACTTCGAGCGTGGCGTTTTGCACTCTCTCTGTGACCTCGGTTGCGGCTATATCGGTCCCCACCATGACAATGTCTGCGTCTGCTGATTGCCCCACACTGGTCGTGGACTCAATTGGGATATTCTCTACTACCCCCGACGTGGTGGCTTTCATATCGGGCTCGTCTTGCGTGCTGCATTTCTCTACGCTTCGACCTTCATGCGTATCCACACCTTGCGTCTCGCTAAAGGATGGGTGTGGTTCAGCTACATCCGAACTCTGTACACTTGCCTTACTCAAGCTACGCAGTGTCACCTCGGATATTGGAGAATTCGCCGATTCACTGTCGATCTGCATATGAGCATCACCTTCTGTAGTATCTGCTGGCACACATGCCTGCAGCCCTGAAAGCACATCTGTGCTGGTGCGTAAATTTGTGGTGGCAGAGGCGGTATCCACAAACGATGTGGTGAGGTGTTCCTGGTACTTCACTGTCTCTGTGGCTAGCACCACCTGCGTTGTCGTCTCTGTTTTCGCTTGTGAGTCACTATCATCTTCGACACGATCATCCTGCGAGCAGCCTACTATTTTTTTCCTCCCTTCTGATTCTATCGCCTCCTCTTCCTCCGTAACTGATACAATACGATCGGTTTCGGTGAGTGTGCTAACCTGTGCCCTTATACTGTGTGAACTAGCTGTCACATCACCTTCTTGCTTTGCCTCTATAGTTGGTCCAGTGGCGCCCTTCTTATGCACAACTCTGTCGTGGGCCGTATCATCATGATCGGTTTCTGTAGCCAACGGTATGTCAACTGATGCTACACTTATGCCAGTCACCAACACATCCGTCAGTACACCTTCTTCCGCCGAGTGACCTCCGGTCGCATCATGTACTATCTCGTCACTTCTCTGCGAAGTAGTATTCGCAAGTGATTGTGCTAGGATCCGGCTTTCCGAAGCTACCTTCGCAAGGTTTGTCGAGGTGTCATCGTTCACAGCGTGACTTGCTGTATTCGTGCCACTTTCTGCTGCCTGCTCGACTGTTGATACGCTACCACTGCTCCTTTTCGTGTGAAATTCGGCGTTGCCTTCCGCGCAAGCCTTTGTTTCGCTGGCTTCAATCGAGGAATTGTTGTGCATGACCGGCGTAGCATCTGCCTGCGGACTTTGAGCACTGCGGATAGCTTCATTATGTTTGACGCTATTCCCACCTCCAGACAGAGCTTCGCTTGGAACCATCTCTGAGAATGTTTCGTTGCCCTTGGTATCCGTCATCGCAAAACCAATACGAGTGTCGTCACTCGTGTCTATCGGAACACTCGCATTCGCATCAACGGCTGAATCTGAGACTTTCTCACTCATTACATAAGGTTCGATGGAAGTCTCCGCAGTCTCCATCGCATGATTGTTTGCTTCCAAAGTACCGGCATCACTCGTATTTCTCATTTGGGCTTGTACGGCAAGTGAAACTGGTGCATTTTCGCCCGCGTTCACTGCGCTACTCTCCGCGTCACCTTGCTGTGTCTCAGACGATGCACTTACACTACTAGCTCTAACTTGCTCTGTTTTGGCACTGCTTTGGTTAGAAACTCCGGATCGCTTCATCGAAACCCCCGCAATCTTCTTGTGCGGGGTCTGCTCCCAGAACCTCCTCCGCACAGTCACGGAAGGAGGAATTTTGATATCCGACAAGGCGTTGAATTTTGAATTTGGAGATCCTTGGACTATCTTAGTCCGTGCGTAGAGAGAAGTGGCCCGTGCAAGCATCTCGGGATTGTTGATCTGTTCTTTCACCTCGCATTTGTGCAGTGATTCCTTAGGTTTGACAGGGTCTGGTACCTTGAAAGGCCCCGCCTGTATATAGACAAGAGCACGGTTAACGGCAAGCTTGATGGATTGACTACCACGCGTACAGCAACAAGATAGAAAGTATGTTCTAGATTAACCCCCATAGCAAGCCAACTTTCCTTCTGAAGAGCTTGATACATAAATGGAAAAACATTTACACGCATTACAGCAAGCCACATAGGTTTGAATCTTGTAAAAGAATGAGTTCGATTCTGGTTGAAAAGTAAAGTAGAAGTAGATTTGTACGTTGTCACTCTGAGGTCACAAAAAGATAGATAAAATGGTATGTATGCGTATTCGCCCACTACAACAGTCATGTTCGTATTGGCTCGATTTCAGTCCAGTTTGTATCAAATTTTTATTCTGAATATAGACTATCTCCCACTGACGATAAACGAAGAATTTCACAAACTAAGATTTTATATA